TGATACGTGAACATACTACGGGTCCACGGTCTCTCCCGTTGGCTGGGGTCAGCAGGGTTCAGGGGTATAGCTGTGTGGATGCCGACGCAGCGGAGTAGTCGGCAGATAGCCAGAGCATTGGCGGGTATTATTGGCGGGTATTGGAGGTCGAAGTGGCAGTGCGGGGTGTTAGGAAAGCGGCAGAGGAATGTCGGGCACAGGTGCATAGAAGTGGTGATGTTAAGACAGTATCATGAGGTTGAAACGAGACGAAACCGGGACTCACGTCCAGCACCCCAATGGACGGGGATGGGGTTGACCCCAGCTTGGGAAGGATAAGCTGGGCATCAGCGCTTTTCTCGATACGCACATTCCCTCCTTCAAGTCAAGAACGAGATAAATGTGTATGAATGATAAAGCCAGATGGTGTAGAACATCCAGTCCAAACTCACTGGTCAAGACCACTCTCGAAGGGTACAAAGCCTTTTTCTCTTTCCCCCCTTCTTCACCATGTCCACCTTTTTCACCTTTATCTACAGGTGACAAAGGTCCAGGTGCTCCCGCTCCAACAGCGGCAGCTGCCAAACTCAAATTCCCATAAGGTGTACTGGTCCCAGTTCCGCTGGTGGCCGCATTAGGACTGGTTGGGAAACTTGTCCTACGAGTCCAGTTCAGAGCTTCCACCCCTCCTCCGACGGGGGAGATGGCTCCTGAGCGAGTGGCGAGGGGGTTGTCCGATTTGGGAGAGGTACCAGTGTTTGAGATTGGTGCACCAGATGGACCACAGGGGATGTGATCTATACCTGTGACGACGGGAGAAGGAGGGATGGAATCTGTTATACCGACTGATTTGAATGGGGAGATGTTGAGTGGGGAGGGGTGGGTGAGGGAGATGGCTTCGACCTGGGAGTGAGTGAGGGGCCAAGTGGGCAGTGGGCTGCCTTGAGCAGGAGATGGTTCAGGTGACGACACAGCATCCGACGTGGTGAGGGTAAGTAAGGAATGTGTGATGGGGCGGGGGGAGGGAGGTGGACATGGACGGGGTGGAATGTCACTCACTTTCTTTGCCAAATCATCTTGTTTCTCACCCAACGTCTTCAAAGTGAGTAGAATCTGTTCTAGCACAGTGTCTTGAGACATGCTGCTAGCTGCTAGCTGTGGTTGGTGCTATGATCGAGGTGGTAGTACTGAGGATATATATATTCCCGAGCTGTTGGTGGGAAAGTGAGGTGGATGTGAGATAGAGTGGTGGGTGGCAATGTAAGTAGTCGGGGGTAGGGGGATGACGGTGATTATTGAAGATGTTCAATAGCTGACGGATATAGAGACGTTAGAAGGCTTATGTAAAAAGGAGAGATGGATACAAAGAAGTGGTTGTGAAAGGTGATAAGTAGTACTACTTATGCTACGAGCACTATGCTTATGGTGGTGACGGGGTTGATGACGATGACGAGAAAGGAAGTCATCTCCGGTCATATCGGCTTTTGTATATCGAGCCTTCTCATCGCTATCTTGCTATCTGACAGGGTACCATGCAGCTATGACAGCCGACACCCCCTTCACAACAACAAGACTACTGTAACATGCTTGATGCATGATAAGTTGAGACGAAACATTGACCTCCAGTATCATCGGGATAACATCTTTTCATCATAACCTCGGACCCGAATCATCAACACATGTCCTGATCCCCTCATCATGACTTCTCACTGATCACACAGATGGACGCTTTATCTCACGTCATATCAGTGTCACACAACCTACTTCCGAAAAATTCATGCGTTGGCATAAGGAATCACTGTAAT